AAATCCCAGGAAACCTTGCACTCCCTTAATGTTTTGGGGTACTGGCCATTCCTGAACCGCCTCTACCTTATCCTCTGACATAGATACTCCCCTTTCCGAGATGTGATAGCCAAGATATTCTACTTCTCGGACATGGAAGGATGTCTTGCTGATGGAGGCACACAGTTTTGCTTCTCTGAGCTTCTGTAGAACCTTCTCAACCAGCCTTTCATGCTCTTCCTCAGTCTCTGAGTAGATGAGGATGTCGTCGATATAGACAACCACTCCTTCATCCAGTAGTTCTTTTAGCACATAATTGATCATGGCCTGGAAGGCGGAAGGGCCGTTGCATAGACCAAATGGCATCACATTATACTGATACAGTCCATAGCGGGTCCTGAAAGCGGTTTTCCACTCATGTCCCTCTGCTATCCTGATCAAATTGAAGCCGTTCTTCAGGTCTATCTTTGTGAAGATCTTGGCTTTGAACAACCTATCCCTGAGCTCGCTCATGATAGGCAATGGGTACTTGTCTTTGACGGTGACCTTGTTCAGCCCTCTGTACTAATCAACACAAATTCGCCATGTGCTATCCTTCTTAGGTATGAACAATATGGGTGCCGCTGCTGGGCTGCTAGATCTGGAGATCTTTCCCAAAGACAATTCTTTGTCTAAGTACTCTCGGAGGGCTTTTTACTCTGGAGCAGAACATGTGTATAGCGGGCCAAATGGGGGAGCGGTACCAGGCAAGAGGTTGATCCTCAGCTCATTTCAGGAGTGCGGAGGCAACTCCTGTATCTTCTCTTGACTGAATACATCAGCCCATTCCCTATAGCGGAGAGGTATCCTTTCAGCGATATCTCCTCCATCCTCATCATGCCATACTGAAGCGGCCAGTTGATATACTACAACTTCTGCTTCCATCATTTGATATGAAGAGATGAGTTCAAACTTGATCGCTACTGGGAGATAGTTCTGCTTGCAGTAGTCACTTCGCCAGCTTATGGTATCGAGTTCCCAATTGATATCCGGGTTATGCTTCCTTGCCCATGCAATTGGCAGGTAACCGGATATTCCTTCTTCCAAAGTGGCTACCTCCCATCGGAGCGTCTCCCTATGATCTCCCATGCTCATGTGGACTGGGTGGATGTAATACTCTCCTCCGCCCATCATGACATCTCCTTGAGCATCATACATTGTCAGAGGTTGATCTCGCTGCACTAAGGGAACTCCATGCTTCCTGACAAAACTCTGGCTGAGGATTGCTCCTGTACAACCGGTGTCAAAGAGGAATGTCCTTGGGCGTTTTCAACTTTATTCTTGACCGTCCATGACAGTCCTGCCTTCAGTATTGGCCTCTTGCCATGTACTGGTAAGGATGGGAGCTTCTCTTCCAACCTTCTTCGCTTCTGTGCGGGTTCTGGGCTTGATTCTCTTTGTCTTTTCTCCATTGCTAACAGCTGCGGGCACTACTAAGATCAAAAGATCCTTTGGTTCTATTCCCAAGCGATGATATAGCAAGTTTATTGTGTGGTAGACTGGTAGCAGTCAGAAGTTTCTTGTGGCAAATGTAACTTTGACAGAGCACTTACAGACCAGCTGTTTCGGGTCATAAACCCATCCTCAGAGTGCTTGGAAACAATCAAATAGGCGGAAACACAATCATAATTTATTGAAGAGAAACAAGGAAATCAAGACCCAAAAGAAAACTAGTAAATATAGACTCTAAACAGACACACTTTCTACCAGATGACTTCATTGTCCGAGTCTTGCTCAAGTTGAAAGACGAAATCTCCTGTAACCTCCGGGAGTACAACAAGTGGTTCCTCTGCTACAACAGCAGCCACTTTCGCTTTCTTCTGAGGATTGGGCTTGCCATTTCCTCGTTTCCTCTTTTGTAACCTCACTGCTGCCACTCGGACTACATTAGGTTCCCTGGACCAACAATCGGTCCATTTGTGTCTGGACTTGATGCACTTTGCACAAGTCAGTCTATGCACTCTACCAATAGGGAGTACTGGAAGGTTATACCTTCAACCATACTTCTGCTTTTCTTCTTTCTTCTAGAATATCCCCCGGGATACCCTTCAGTTCCACCGTTTTATCTTTGGAACTTGCTTCCTTCTGGGGTTTTGAGGAGCTTGCAGCTTCTCTCTTCCTCTTGGGGTGCCATTCCTTCTCAGCGGGAGGTTCTTTCTTGGTCCTGGCGGGTGCTTTTTCAGCTACTACCGTCTGGTAACTCTCATGGGTGTGTCCTAGCTCTCTTAGGTCAGCTATCCGCTCCATCAAAGACTTTGGCGTGGGGGTAAAGAGAGCCCAACTCATGCCTAGGTCCGGAAGGAGGGAACTAAGGATCTTATCATCCACTAACTGACACTCATAGCCAGTCTTCCACATCAGCTGAATAATGCTATTCAGGAAGGAGTCTATTCCTCCCTTGACTGTGTGGGTAAGGGTATTCCATTGGGCTACAGCATCATCCCTAGAGATGGCTTCGCCAAACACTGCTCTGAGAGCATCCACAAAGGAATCCCAACACCTCCATCTCTCATCCAACACCGCAGGCATCCCAGCTATCCGGTTGGCAGAAGCTTGGTCAATGGAGTTGTGATAAGCTTCATACCATTTGACCGGAGCATCTCCTTCCATCAGGTTGGCAGCATAACGGATCCTGACCTCTTCAGAGGTAAAGGACTGGCTTTCAATGGAGAAGACGTTCTCACATTGCCGGATGAAGGTCTCCACATTGTCTGCTTTGCCATTGAACTTGGCCGGATGGGGTGCCTTGGGTTCTCGGGCCCTAGAGGCAGCCGAGGAGTGCGAGGGGGCCGGAGGTCTCATGAACTGGGCCATGGAGGCCAGGAGTTCTTTCTGTTGCTTTTCTAACTTCTTCCTAAGGTACCTCCGCCATCCTCTTCTGTCACCATCCTCAGGTTTCGAGTCTGAGCTATCTGAGTCTCCTCCTGGGTTGGGAGCGCCACCAACCGGGGGGACAATTCCATCTCCTCCACCATTACCCACTGGTTCTGGGTTCTGGTCTTCTTCACCAGGGTTTCCTTCTGGCTGGAGGTTTCTCCTAGGTGACTCTGGGGGTGGTGAGCCTCTGTGGGATTCTGGGGATAACCCCTGGCGAACCCAGGCTGGATAAAGCCCAGAGGGACCACTCCTGACCGGTGTCTGGGAGTAGTAGTCATCGTCTCCTATAGGTTGTCAGGGGGGCCTAGCTAGGCCACCTGCCAAAGGGCTTCCTGGAGCTCTTTGAGGAGGCAGGGGTGAGCCTCCAATAGTCATTGGCATTATCAGGGGAAGAGTTCTCTGCCTGATAGACCTGACCGGAAACACTGTAAAGGGGTTTACCCTCTGGTGGAAGGTTCTCAGTGCCGCTCTGGACGAGGCCCTTGAGTTCTGCGGAGGTGCGGGGTTGGGGACAGTTGCTGGTGTGGGCATTCTGGCGATGGAGAGCCTTCCTTCATTGATAGCTCTCTGGATATCCTCCAGGAAGTTAGGGGGCATCGCGGGGCTTGTCCACTCAATGTCCTCCATCTCATCCGCTCCTAAGTCATCTCTTTTAGCATAACTCTGGAGTTGTGCCTGGACTGAGAAGACTTGTTCTTGCATGTAGCCAAAGGCATTCCTGAGCAGGACTCCCTCAGCTTCTTGTCTTTCTTGCACCAAGGCTAGCGCATTACCGGCCTTGATGACTTCCTGTTGCAGGCTGTGCTTAAGGTAGCTCTGCAACTCTGCAAAGAAGTCCTGTAGGGTGACTTCGTCGGCATCTTGCCAGGTGGGCTCACAGCGGGGAATGTAGAACTGGAGCGCCGTTCTGGGCCTGTGGATCAACTGTGTCTGACCCTCTTGGAACTCTAAGGCTGCCGGTTGCCATTCAATCTGAAGAGGCACTTGGTGGGCCGGGAGGGCGGACATGTTGTAGAAGGAAGAATAATCTGAAGGTGATTTGAGCACTAAAGATTATCTATAACGGGGACAGCCTCTTCTATGTATCGCTAGAATCGAATAGAATAGATGCGGCCGTGCAAGATAGAAATCAGGTCCAGATTTATTCAAAGATACTATCGCTAGAACTCAATAATCTTTAAGGGCTCTGCTACCGATTATTCTAGGTCAAGATGAAGATGAGGATCCGGACAGTTGGGCGGGAAATGATCCTGAGTACTTATACTCCAAAGGATTCTATTCTCTGCTCCTACTTCCTTACTAAGTTCCAGTGCTGCCTTCTAGCGGAAGGGAAGCAATACCATCGCTACCCCGCTTCTCTCTAAGCGTCAGCGAGTGCTTCCAGTTCCGCAGGCAACCACCCTTAGTCAAAGCCTTTCTAACACCTGCAGCCTTTGTTGCCACACAACTGGGGCCTACATGAATGAGTTGCCGCTCAGGTGTAAGCTTAATCATTGCTGTAGAGCTTCGCTTATTGTAGACTTCCCAGGCATAACCCCTTCCGTTACCGGCAGACTTCCAATGCCCAGAGGATATAGAAGATCGCCGAGCACTCAGAGCTTCCCTCTGGCTGGCCTTCTAATCATTGGTGAGGCATAGACTCGTCAGTCATCGCTCCCATTAGTAGATCCTTTTCCTAGCGCTCAGAATGTAGTTACTCTGACAGCTGGTAGCTAACCACACTGCCGGTACTTACATGTCACTGTGCAACTAGCTTCTAACAATAACTCTCAGCATGTAACCGGGCCCTGTGTGTACTCATACACCAGGCAGTTGAAATGGCTCCGTTACACCAACAGAACCTCCTACTCAAACGAACTACATGAACCACCCCAGACAGACCATCCCTCCTCACAAACCATATTCAAGGAGCCTTCAACTGCGTTGACCACATCCTACTAGCAGAAATCATGACCCAACAAAAATTTCCGACTTACCTAACCAATTGGTGAAAGGAATTCAAAACCAACCGAACACTCCAATTCCAGTTCAACCACTAACTAGAATTCACACAACTATACAACTCGGGACTACCACAAGGATCCCCGCTATCCCCAGTTCTATTCATGATATACGCAGGAGTCATAACAGACACCAGCAACTCCAACAAAGAACTCAACACCACCTACATAGGCGACGCCGAGCTCGTCCAAATTGCGAAAACAACCCTCTTCGCCACCAAAAGACTCAAGGAAAGGATGACTAAAAGGGACAAAAAGGCAACACCGCTCATCATCAAATATGAACCACAGAAGTCCGACCTTATCTTCTTCAAACCTACAACATCGAACACCCCCACACCAAGACACTCAGTCACAATCGCAAATGAGGAAATCTACCCCAAAGACAGACTCAAATACGTCCGAATCTGGCTTGACTCAAACCTCTTTTTCCGACCACACATCGAAGAAACCATCGCCAAAGGCCTCCGTATACTAGGGCAAATCAGGAACATAGCATACCTCCCTGGAACAACAGTAAAATCCACACACCATCTTGTCATCCAAGGCCTTCTCCCCACAATCCTATGGGGATTGGAAGCGTGGTATACAGGAGCAGACCATGCTCTCAGATCACTCTCTGTAACTGGGACAGTCTATACACGTATCGCTAGAATCCGATAGAAAGATGTGGCCGTGCGAGATAGAAATCAGGTTTAGATTATTCAAAGATTCTTTCGCAAAAACTCAATAACCTTTAAGGACTCTGCTACCGAGTAGAAAATACTTAATAGCACCGATGGAGACTTGGGAGAAAATAGATAGTTGGGCGGGAAGGATCCTGAGTACTTATACTCCAAAAGATTCCGTTCCGCTGCTCCTACCTCCTTACTAAGTTCCGGTGACTCCTTCTAGCGGAGAGGCAACAATACCACCGCTACCCCGATTCTCTCTAAGCGTTAGCGGGTGTTTCCAGTTCCGAAGGCAACCACCCTTAGTCAAAGCTTTTTGTAACACCTGCAGTCTTGGTTGTCGCACAACCGGGACCTGCATGAATGAGCTACTGCTCAGGTGTAATCTTAATCGTTGCTGTAGAGCTCATCACTTATTGTAGACTTCCCAGGCATAGTCCCTGCCACTACCGGCGGACTTATCATGCTCGGAGGATATAGAGCATCGCCGAGCACTCAGAGCTTCACTCTGGCTGGCCTTCTAATCATTGGTGAGGCATAGACTCGTCAGTCATTACTTCCATGAATAGATCCTCCTCCTAGCGCTCAAAATGTAGTTGCTCTCACAGCTGGTAGCAAACTACACTGCCGGTACTTGCATTTCACTATGCAACTGGCTTCTATCAATCACTCTCAGCATGTAACCGGGCCCTATATGTACTCATACACCAGACAGTTGAAATGGTTCCGTTACCCAAGCCACAATTAAGGCCAACATCCAGCTCTTTCAAGACATGTTCTTAGCCATGCTCCATCATGGAGTGCACCCAGACCGATGGAAAGTGGCAAAATGCAAAATGATCCCCAAATCAACAAAATCTGACTACTCCTTAGCCAAAATATACCGGCCCATCTTTCTTCTCCAATGCTTCAGTAAAGTACTGGAGAAAATAGTGGCGACAAGACTATGCACTGCCGGGTCCACCCTAGAGACCCTCACCAAAGACCAAATCGGAGTCAGGCCAACAATCTCAGCGGTCGATGCCCTACTTCGCACCCTCACCCCGATCCAGCAAAATCTCCTCCTCAGACAGATGATTGGAGTCACCACAGAGAGACCAGCTCTCCTCATGAATGACATACAAGGAGCCTTCAACCGCGTCAACCATCACTCACTCGCAGAAATCATGATCCAACAGAAATTTCCGCATTACCTAATTAATTGGTGCAAGGAATTCAACACAAACCGAACCCTTCAATTCCAGTTCAAACACGAACTAGAACCACCACAACCATACAATTCAAGGCTACCCCAAGGATCCCTTCTATCCCCAGTGTTGTTTATGATCTACGCTGGAGTAGGAACAGACCCAATCACCTTCCCCAAGGAAATCAAGACCACCTATATGGATAATGACGCGCTCGTTCAACTCGCGAAAACACCTCTCCTCATTACTAAAAGTCTGAATGAGAGGATGGCAGAAAGAGTAGAAAAAGCAGCGCCCCTCAACATCAAATACGAACCACAAAAATCAGATCTCGTCTTCTTCAAACCCACGACATCATGTAACGCCACACCAAAGAACTCAGTGGTCTTCGCTACAGAAGAGGTCCACCCCAAAGACATGCTCAAATATGTTGACGTCTGGCTAGATCCCAACCTCTACTTCCAACCTCACATTGAAGAAATCATCGCCAAAGGTCTTAAAGCCCTAGGCAAAATAAGAAACATAGCTTACCTTCCAGGAACAACCGTGAAAGCTATCCATAACCTTGTCGTCCAAGGCTTTCTCCCCACGATACTGTGGGATCAGAAGCATGATGGACAGGAGCTGACCACATTCTGTGACCAGTCTCCCCACTCTATAATAAAGCAGCCCGAATAATCACCGGCCTACCCCGATGGACGAAAACCGAAAGACTGCTAAAACAGGCAGCACTCCCCCCCCTCGAACACCTCCTCACCCACAAATCACAAAAGTACGCAACACATATCCTCTGTCACCCCGCTCAACACTCACTAAATGAAGAACTCATGCAACTCCTCCCCACCAAAACATAACAAACCAAAGGAACTGGCGTCCATCGAATTGCATCACTCATGTTACCTTTCCAGGAACCAGGCAACTGCAGAGAATGATTGATTCAAAATGACCTCCTCATTAGGTGGATGGTGCCAGTATCTTCTGTTCCTACTGTTCCAGGTTACACACCGACCGATATGGGTACGCTTTCACGGAGCTCAAAGTACCGATGGCTACTACCGAGGTAGGAGTTCCGCAATATTCTCAGTGCGCGACAGGTATGGTTCACTCTCATCCAGGATGGCCTTCGCGAATTATGAGTTCAATGGCATTCAGCCTGGTTCGACGAATGATTCAGGTAGAGTACAGAGTCACCGATTTAAAGATGTTCAAAGTAAAAATAGTTTTTGGAAAAAGCGTACCAAAGAGTTATGCTCGCGTATGCAGATGGTTTATATTGTTAAGATGCTTATATTGCCGATGATGATTCAGGCTAGTCAGGGAATGACACAGGATTTATATCCCTCGCTTATATCTCGAGGACTGACTTTCTAAATCTATCACAAAAACTCGGGGCGCCCGAAAGACCCTCAAAAGATGTCAAGTAAATCCATTCCGCCCCTTCTAATAGTATCCCTCCATCCATCACTTTCCATGTATGCGCCTTGCCTCTTCGCTTCTCGATACCGATCACTGGTATTTGTCAGTTCCTTCCTCATTGGTACTTGGAGGTGTGTTATTTATGCTTAACCCTTCCCATATCGCTTTCCCCGCATAGTGGAGATACTCAATGCCTATAGGTACTGCCGATTGGTACAGGGTTAGCGGACAGTGCTCCTCGTTTCCTCGATATTGGTCCGAACCTCTATCCGATTGCTTTGCCTCTTCCCTCAAAGTTTCTGTGGTACCACAAGTGAGTGTTCCGGCGGTTTGACTTTCCGGGTGTTAAATGAGGGATCGAAAACGTTGTTTTTTCAGGTGGGAAACTGAAACTCCGCAATATGAGCGCATACTGGCCACACCGTGCCTCGAAGGTGCGGCCAGAGGTCAATGGTGCATTGTACAAGTCATTCCAACTGTTCCTACTCTGATTACCTCTCAATACACCCCTAACACCTACACTGTCTAAATACAGTTACTATTACTTCTCCTCCTATAAGAGGACCGCTGCGCTGCGATCCACCCACTCCATTGACTCCCACTAACACCCAGGTTTCTCAGGATCCTCGAGTTGCACTAATCCATCGGCTTTTACCACTACCATAATACTTTGTGGAATAGTCGCTACACGCTCCCTTGAGATTACGTGGCGTCGTCATCCGCACCGTACGCTATGTTCACCCCGAGCCACCTGGATGGGTCCTCCCCACCAATGTCAAGGAATTCAAACAACAGTATCAGCGCGATATTTCTGTCCTCTTCAACCACCTCACTGTCTTAGTCCAGCGGATCTGCCATGAAAGGGACACCGCTCGTACACAACTTGGCGCCGCCCACGAAATCATTGATAACTTGGAAGAGCAAGTAATGGAGCTTAACCTTGACCTCAATGTCGCTCGCACTACCCCAGCCACCACCACTCCTGTCTGCGTTGTCACTGTAACGGAGCCATCTTAACTGTCTGGTGTATGAGTACACACATGGCCCGATTACATGCTGAGAGTTATTGTTAGAAGCCAGTTGCACAGTGACATGCAAGTACCAGCAGTGTGGTTAGCTACAAGCTGTCAGAGTAACTACATTCTGAGTGCTAGGAAGAGGATCTACGCATGAGAGCAATGACTGACGAGTCTATGCCTCGCCAATGAGTGAAAGGCCGGCCAGAGTGAAGCTCTGAGTGCTCGGCGATCCTCTACATCTTCTGAGCATTGGAAGTCCGCCGGTAGCGGAAGGGACTATGCCTGGGAAGTCTACAATAAGCGAAAGCTGTACAGCAATAATTAAGCTTACACCTGAGCGGCAGCTCATTCATGCAGGCCCCAGTTGTGTGGCAACCAAGGCTGCAGGTGTTACCAAGGCTTTGACTAAGGGTGGTTGCCTTCGGAATCGGAAGCACTTGCTGACGCTTAGAGAGAAGCGGGGTAGCGATGGTATTGGTTCCCTTCCGCTAGAAGGCAGCACTGTAACTTAGTAAGGAAGTAGGAGCAGGGAATAGAATCCTTTGGAGTATAAGTACTCAGGATCATTCCCACCTAACTATCCAGATCCTCATCTTGAAGTTGACCATTATCGGTAGCAGAGCCCTTAAAGATTATTAAGTTCTAGCGAAAGTATCTTTGAAATAATCTGGACCTGATTTCTATCTTGCACGGCCGCATCTATTCTATTCGATTCTAGCGATACATAGAAGAGGCTGTCCCCGTTACAGATAATCTTTAGTGCTCAAATCACCTTCAGATTATTCTTCCTTCTACAACATGTCCGACCTTCCGGATCCCCAAGTGCCTCTTCAGATTGAATGGCAACCGGCAGCCTTAGAATTCCAAGAGGGTCAGACACAGTTGATCCACAAGCCCATGACGGCGCTGCAGTCCTACATCCCTGGATGTGAGCCCACCTGGCAAGATACTGATGAAGTCACCCTACAGGACTTCTTTTCAGAGTTGCAGCGCTACCTTAAGCACAGCCTGCAACAGGAAGTCATCAAGGCCGGTAATGCGCTAGCCTTGGTGCAAGAAAGACAAGAAGCTGAGGGAGTCCTGCTCAGGAATGCCTTTGGCTACATGCAAGAACAAGTCTTCTCAGTCCAGGCACAACTCCAGAGTTATGCTAAAAGAGATGACTTAGGAGCGGATGAGATGGAGGACATTGAGTGGACAAGCCCCGCGATGCCCCCTAACTTCCTGGAGGATATCCAGAGAGCTATCAATGAAGGAAGGCTCTCCATCGCCAGAATGCCCACACCAGCAACTGTCCCCAACCCCGCACCTCCGCAGAACTCAAGGGCCTCGTCCAGAGCGGCACTGAGAACCTTCCACCAGAGGGTAAACCCCTTTACAGTGTTTCCGGTCAGGTCTATCAGGCAGAGAACTCTTCCCCTGATAATGCCAATGACTATTGGAGGCTCACCCCTGCCTCCTCAAAGAGCTCCAGGAAGCCCTTTGGCAGGTGGCCTAGCTAGGCCCCCCTGACAACCTATAGGAGACGATGACTACTACTCCCAGACACCGGTCAGGAGTGGTCCCTCTGGGCTTTATCCAGCCTGGGTTCGCCAGGGGTTATCCCCAGAATCCCACAGAGGCTCACCACCCCCAGAGTCACCTAGGAGAAACCTCCAGCCAGAAGGAAACCCTGGTGAAGAAGACCAGAACCCAGAACCAGTGGGTAATGGTGGAGGAGATGGAATTGTCCCCCCGGTTGGTGGCGCTCCCAACCCAGGAGGAGACTCAGATAGCTCAGACTCGAAACCTGAGGATGGTGACAGAAGAGGATGGCGGAGGTACCTTAGGAAGAAGTTAGAAAAGCAACAGAAAGAACTCCTGGCCTCCATGGCCCAGTTCATGAGACCTCCGGCCCCCTCGCACTCCTCGGCTGCCTCTAGGGCCCGAGAACCCAAGGCACCCCATCCGGCCAAGTTCAATGGCAAAGCAGACAATGTGGAGACCTTCATCCGGCAATGTGAGAACGTCTTCTCCATTGAAAGCCAGTCCTTTACCTCTGAAGAGGTCAGGATCCGTTATGCTGCCAACCTGATGGAAGGAGATGCTCCGGTCAAATGGTATGAAGCTTATCACAACTCCATTGACCAAGCTTCTGCCAACCGGATAGCTGGGATGCCTGCGGTGTTGGATGAGAGATGGAGGTGTTGGGATTCCTTTGTGGATGCTCTCAGAGCAGTGTTTGGCGAAGCCATCTCTAGGGATGATGCTGTAGCCCAATGGAATACCCTTACCCACACAGTCAAGGGAGGAATAGACTCCTTCCTGAATAGCATTATTCAGCTGATGTGGAAGACTGGCTATGAGTGTCAGTTAGTGGATGATAAGATCCTTAGTTCCCTCCTTCCGGACCTAGGCATGAGTTGGGCTCTCTTTACCCCCACGCCAAAGTCTTTGATGGAGCGGATAGCTGACCTAAGAGAGCTAGGACACACCCATGAGAGTTACCAGACGGTAGTAGCTGAAAAAGCACCCGCCAGGACCAAGAAAGAACCTCCCGCTGAGAAGGAATGGCACCCCAAGAGGAAGAGAGAAGCTGCAAGCTCCTCAAAACCCCAGAAGGAAGCAAGTTCCAAAGATAAAACGGTGGAACTGAAGGGTATCCCGGGGGATATTCTAGAAGAAAGAAGAAAAGCAGAAGTATGGTTGAAGGTATAACCTTCCAGTACTCCCTATTGGTAGAGTGCATAGACTGACTTGTGCAAAGTGCATCAAGTCCAGACACAAATGGACCGATTGTTGGTCCAGGGAACCTAATGTAGTCCGAGTGGCAGCAGTGAGGTTACAAAAGAGGAAACGAGGAAATGGCAAGCCCAATCCTCAGAAGAAAGCGAAAGTGGCTGCTGTTGTAGCAGAGGAACCACTTGTTGTACTCCCGGAGGTTACAGGAGATTTCGTCTTTCAACTTGAGCAAGACTCGGACAATGAAGTCATCTGGTAGAAAGTGTGTCTGTTTAGAGTCTATATTTACTAGTTTTCTTTTGGGTCTTGATTTCCTTGTTTCTCTTCAATAAATTATGATTGTGTTTCCGCCTATTTGATTGTTTCCAAGCACTCTGAGGATGGGTTTATGACCCGAAACAGCTGGTCTGTAAGTGCTCTGTCAAAGTTACATTTGCCACAAGAAACTTCTGACTGCTACCAGTCTACCACACAATAAACTTGCTATATCATCGCTTGGGAATAGAACCAAAGGATCTTTTGATCTTAGTAGTGCCCGCAGCTGTTAGCAATGGAGAAAAGACAAAGAGAATCAAGCCCAGAACCCGCACAGAAGCGAAGAAGGTTGGAAGAGAAGCTCCCATCCTTACCAGTACATGGCAAGAGGCCAATACTGAAGGCAGGACTGTCATGGACGGTCAAGAATAAAGTTGAAAACGCCCAAGGGACATTCCTCTTTGACACCGGTTGTACAGGAGCAATCCTCAGCCAGAGTTTTGTCAGGAAGCATGGAGTTCCCTTAGTGCAGCGAGATCAACCTCTGACAATGTATGATGCTCAAGGAGATGTCATGATGGGCGGAGGAGAGTATTACATCCACCCAGTCCACATGAGCATGGGAGATCATAGGGAGACGCTCCGATGGGAGGTAGCCACTTTGGAAGAAGGAATATCCGGTTACCTGCCAATTGCATGGGCAAGGAAGCATAACCCGGATATCAATTGGGAACTCGATACCATAAGCTGGCGAAGTGACTACTGCAAGCAGAACTATCTCCCAGTAGCGATCAAGTTTGAACTCATCTCTTCATATCAAATGATGGAAGCAGAAGTTGTAGTATATCAACTGGCCGCTTCAGTATGGCATGATGAGGATGGAGGAGATATCGCTGAAAGGATACCTCTCCGCTATAGGGAATGGGCTGATGTATTCAGTCAAGAGAAGATACAGGAGTTGCCTCCGCACTCCTGAAATGAGCTGAGGATCAACCTCTTGCCTGGTACCGCTCCCCCATTTGGCCCGCTATACACATGTTCTGCTCCAGAGTAAAAAGCCCTCCGAGAGTACTTAGACAAAGAATTGTCTTTGGGAAAGATCTCCAGATCTAGCAGCCCAGCAGCGGCACCCATATTGTTCATACCTAAGAAGGATAGCACATGGCGAATTTGTGTTGATTAGTACAGAGGGCTGAACAAGGTCACCGTCAAAGACAAGTACCCATTGCCTATCATGAGCGAGCTCAGGGATAGGTTGTTCAAAGCCAAGATCTTCACAAAGATAGACCTGAAGAACGGCTTCAATTTGATCAGGATAGCAGAGGGACATGAGTGGAAAACCGCTTTCAGGACCCGCTATGGACTGTATCAGTATAATGTGATGCCATTTGGTCTATGCAACGGCCCTTCCGCCTTCCAGGCCATGATCAATTATGTGCTAAAAGAACTACTGGATGAAGGAGTGGTTGTCTATATCGACGACATCCTCATCTACTCAGAGACTGAGGAAGAGCATGAAAGGCTGGTTGAGAAGGTTCTACAGAAGCTCAGAGAAGCAAAACTGTGTGCCTCCATCAGCAAGACATCCTTCCATGTCCGAGAAGTAGAATATCTTGGCTATCACATCTCGGAAAGGGGAGTATCTATGTCAGAGGATAAGGTAGAGGCGGTTCAGGAATGGCCAGTACCCCAAAACATTAAGGGAGTGCAAGGTTTCCTGGGATTTGCAAACTTCTATCGCCGCTTCATTGAAGGCTTCAGTAAAGTTTGCAAACCATTGACCGACCTCTTGCAAAATGACAAGAAATGGTATTGGACCGCTGCCTGTGAACAAGCATTTGAGGAACTCAAGAGGCTATTCACAAGCGCTCCAATCCTTCTCCATTTTGACCCTAGCAGAAGAACTGTGGTTGAAACTGATGCAAGTGACTTTGCCAAAGGAGCGGTGCTCTCTCAGTATGGGGAAGATGGGAAACTACACCCGGTAGCTTTCTATTCTAAGAAATTCTCCCCGGCTGGGAT